TGGTATAAAATTTCATCGCAAAAGCTCAAAGGCTTCTTGAGATATTGTCCACTCGAAGTAATTAAGCTATAGAGGAACCTCAGTCAGGTAAGCTCTTCAGGCTGAAATCTTAATTTTAGAAAAATTTCACCTTAGTTTTCAAATCTTCTGAAATAGCCAAGTAAAGAGGCTTACTACAGGTAAAAAATTACGACAAGAGTAATCAGTGATTTTTTTTCGTTATAAAGGACTATATGCCGTTTAACATTTTTTTTTGGCCCCTATAAAATCCAAATTTTGAAAATCTTTAGAAATACGCACAATTGCATATCAGGTATGAAAAATCTTAATTCACAAAAATCGTAATAGAGTTTAAGTGAATAATAGGCATTTTTTTTATTATGTGACGTCACAAACTATTTGAATTTTCCGTCATTTTCAAGAAAGAGTCCAAAATGGACATTTGTTCAATTTTAAGTATTGAATTCAGAGGGGAAGCTTACCCTTTAACAATATTTACATATTTCATTGATATTATCTTTCTAAACATCATATTAAAAGATCCAGTTCGGCAGACCTACTCTTGATGACTTTTAATCAAAATATTAGGGTAAAATATACTTTTTTTTCTAAAAATCATTTAAATTTTAAATTGACGTCATACATGTATCTAACATTTGGCTATTGAAAATAGGTAATCCTTTCAAGACTGCTAATATCCACCTGGTTTAGGAAATAATTATATAATTCTCCATCAAAATTTGATTTGAGGTCGAATAATAGTCATTACAGAATATAGCCCCTTTTTATGTAAAATTATTATGAGATTTCAAGCAAAATTTGAAGTGATTAACATGAGGAAATACGAAGATAACAAAAAGCAACCAAGCTCAAAAGTCCATTGAAACAATACAAATCGGGAGCAGAGCAACCACAGACCTCCTAAAACGATAGAGGTGGGATCAGGTGTCATGGAGGAGCAAGCATCCGATATATATCAGATGCATGGCATATCATTAAAAAAGCATATTATTAAAAAATCGTCTGATCCCTTTGATAAAGAATGTATAAAACGTGTGCTTTATTAAGATTTTGTATGCGTTTCACTGATTTTTTTTTCCTTTTGATATTTCGAACCTGAAAATAACCAATAATCTACCCGCAAATCCAATTATTTAATCTGTCTGAAAAAAGTGTGGATAAGAAATTTCAAGTTTGAACATGTATTGATAATCAAAGAATGTGATTTTCATTTGTGTCGAGTGTTTTACTTCGTTGTATTATGTTGTAAGGGAAAAAATATTTGAATTTGTAAACGCTTGTTTAATTTTGTTTGGAAAAATACTTAATGAAAATTTAAAAGCACAACTGAGTAGTCAGCATAAATTGATATTGAAAATATTCAATAATCATGGATTTTAATTTAAGCCAGCTTTAACCAATAAGTATACGTGTCCTTTTGATAAAACTTAGTATCAGATTTTTGGAGAACAGTTCTAACTTTTCGGTCGAAGTATATATCATTTGTAACAGATACCGTTTAAAGGTCAAGTTCATAGGAAATAGATACACTTATAAATAATATATGTTGTAAATAATAGTTAAAAGGAGGGGATCACGATATTCGTAAAATGTTTTCTTGATTCACCTGTTTGAATATCGCTAAAAAATAACGTCTATCAATTTTTGTGACGTCATAAGAGACAAGCAACATCTCTAGTAATAGTATAGTATAGTACTCTCGATTTTCATTGAAAAAAATGGAAAATTTAGCGACAATGATGGCGATATGAACCAGGGGTAGATCTCTCAGTTAAGAAAAGGTCCTACATGTTTGAGCCAGTCAAGGACGCAAATTGGAAATGATTTCTTCTTCAACCTATTCCGTTTCGGCCTGCGAAGGTGACTGAAAGTGGAAATGAAAATAACACAACTGACTAGGGATCCTTGCAGCACCTAGCGAATGCAGATTTGTAACTGGTATCTAATTCCTTTTACCCAAACACTCAGTATTTCAGAATGATGTTTTAGGAATATTGATTTTATATGTTGTTTTATATTCATCATAGGATCAGAACTGTCACAGGTGAAAACATATATATACTTTTTTTTTCTAACTTACATTGCCTGGCCGTTGGAACCGTATACTATAGAAAACAAAGTTTGTCCCCTCAATAATTACCTATGTCTATTGTCTAGTAATTTTTTTATGCCGCGTGACAAGGAATTTTTACTTGGTAGCCCCCCCCCCCATCGGCATTACTTCGTTGTACCTCCCAAAACTGTAATTGCTTCCTACAGGCCTCCATTGAATAAAATCTTTGTCATAATGCACTTTCATGCAAAAAAAAAAAAAAAAAAAAAAAAAAATAATAATAATAATAATAATAATAATAATAATAAATTACATCACCCTATTTTTTTTTTTTTTTTTTTTTTAGAATAAAGAAAAAAAAAACTTTTTTTTTTACTAGGCTATATTCCGATTTCAGGTTCTCTTATACGTGGTGTTACGATGCCACCACCAAGAGAAAATAAATGCTGCCGAAAACAAGTATTGTGGACAGCAAAATCGAGGAACAATCACTTAAACGCGGAAGTTGTTTTTTTTTTTTTTTTTTTTTTTTTGTTTTTTTTTTTTTTTTAATAAATATAATCTGGAAACGTTTACAATGAATATATTCTAGAAAAGTGACATTTGGAGGTAAACAAGCACATTCATGAGTAATTCATTTCTGAGACGGATATTATTCTATATATTCTAATAAGAAATGAAATCACCAAGTCTGTGTGTGTGTGTGTGTAATATTCGAGGAAAGTGCCTTACAGGCACAAAGTATCGGGGGAGGGAGTTCTCCTCCACTGTTTCTAGAATTAATTGTTTGCTTTTAATCATTACTTTTTTTCTATATGTAATTTGTTAAAAAAAAAAATGAATATAAAATGGAAATTTTCACGAAAGGACGGTAACAACCCCTTTCCCGTTTTGTTACAATACGGTGAATCTCCAACACCTAAACACGTCTATTTTTTAATCAAAAAAGACTATTTTCCACCACCCTTTTAGTTTTTTTAAATCAAGAATCTTTTTGGCTTGTCTATTACCCCCCACCCCCCACCCCCCAATATTTAGTCTACCCCTTGGATATTGATTTTTTCACCATGCTAATTTAGTAAACATTTGTTTCTATTTCTTTGAAAGAAAAACATAAAATTATGTACATAATGAAAATACATGCGAATGGTATTTCCTTTATCATTTCCTACTCTTAAGACATCTCGCTTATCGCAGATTTGTCTGATGGGTATTAACAGGGTTCTCCGTCATTTGAAATCTGACTGTGTTGCAGACTTTACGTGAACTTCTAATATTTACGGTATTTTCGCTATCAAATGAACCACTTTTCGTTATAATTACAAAAGCATACACACATACAAACCTTTTTTGAATCACCAGTTCGTTATGCAAATGGTATGTCGTACATAATAATAAAAAAAAAATAATAAAAAATAAAAAAAAATTTTCCCGAGGCACTGATCATGCTGATATACCGTTACTGTATATCAGCATGATCAGTGCCTCGGGAAGAAAAAAAATTTCTCAGTAGGTATTGGGGGGGGGGGGGGTATGTACACCAACAATTCGTCAAGTGCTTGTGATTTTGTGTAACTTACTTTGAAATTTTAAATAAAACATAGACCTTCCCGAATCATTTTATGTCATGGCCGTAGGAACTAGCCCCCCCCCCCCCCCGGAACAATTTTGCCGATAATTAGAATACATAGTCATGTACTATAGAAAACCTAGCTTCTGTATGCTTGTGCCCCCTCAATAAAAAGACTTTAATATTATTATTATTTTTTTTTTTTTTTTTTTGGCCTGTCAAGGAATTTTTGATTTTTTTTTAAGTTGATAGTAGTGTCCCACAACTTAAAATATTTAAATATTTGGCTGTGCCCCTCCCCCCCCCCCCCCCCCGCCAACTGACCTACGAGCCTGTGTGCTTAACATAAAACTGGAAAATGGTCAATAATAAATGTCGCTTAGAAAGCTTCGCATGTAAATTGAGTTCAAAACCATCTCTATTCAATTTTAATGTCCATATTTTTCTCCATTTTGGGTCCTCAGGCAATAAATACAAACTCAGGTCTTGTCCCGATTTATTGGTACAGTTAAAAGCGCACATGCAACCTCTTTCCAACGATAATGTTCCAAACTCGGCATATATAGTTTGTACTTTCTATTTCTCGTTGTCTCTTATGACGTCACGCAACAAGGGAGAGAAGCGATTTACAATAAACGATCCACTTAATTTTTATTTTATTTCACAAAGAAAATAATGGTAAATTCATATCTTACATTGTTGTATAAACAGATGAGAACAACGCATACACTAGACGGTTTTTGGGATTTTCTGTCTACATCTCGAACACAACAGAGAGAAGTCATGGGAAGTTATGTTTCCATGACACAAATTTTACTAGATATTCCATACCCGACCATATCAACATCACTTGCCCTGCGCATGGCCAGTACGTTATCTATTATAATGAAAGACTTCAAGGAAAAAAATACCCTGATGATTATCATCCTAATGAGGCATTTGCTGAACTATGTGAAGTAGAAATATATGGTAGGTGGAATTTAAACCCACTATTTGATTGGATTAGACCTTGATGTAAGAATACTATCAACTTAAAGAAATATAAAAGTCTACTTTTTAATTAGGATGCCGGTCACCTGAATATTTTGGATCTGATTGTTCTCTCCCTTGTCCTGACTCAAACTGTAGATATTGTCACATACAGTCGGGTGTCTGTGAGGGATGTAAACCTGGGTACAAAGGACATCAATGTGAACAACGTATGTTTCACTTAGTTGTATCCATCTCGTTTATTTGCGATCAACACTATTATACTTAGAAATTATATTTCATTAATTTCATTTTTTAACATAAAATAAGCGTGTGACCATAAATTTTATGGAGAACTGTGCAACGAACGGTGTGGAAACTGTAGCGATGGAGTTACCTGTCACCATATCAACGGAAGCTGTACAAACGGATGTGACGCTGGAGTGTATGGAGATAAATGCAATATATGTATGTAATATCCTTAGGGAAAAAAATGTTGGATTTCTTCCGAATTTCTTTAAGAAATAAGGTATCATTTTTAAACATCTATCGGGTTATAAATACGGGTTGGTCACGAGATCAAATTCCATAAAGCCCGAAGGGCTTTATGGTAAATTTGATCTCGTACCAACCCGTATTTATAGCCCGATAGATGTTTTAAAATGATACCTTATTACTTATATTTACATTGGTGACTTATTCATATTTTATATTTGCCTGATTATAATCTTTAACGCTTGAAACGTTTCATTTTTCAAACAATCAGTGTTTGATCCACTAATTGCGCGTCGACCCTTTATGACGTCACTGAGAAATTACGCCGAACGTTTATGACGCGAGGAACCCGTGTTTATACGGATATAGATACGCGATGCTTTTAATAGTGTTATATAAAAGAAAGCATTTGCAAATGTAAATATTCCTATATAATACCTTAATACGTATTTTATTTCTTAGTGTTTGTCTAATTGCTTTTCACAGTTATATCATTTTTTGATAATCGAAAAAAAAAATCATCTTATTGATCGGAAACAAGACATTCTATTAATCAAAATTTTAAAGTAGATAAATATAAAAATATCGAAAAGGGAGGGCTTATGCAAAATTTTAAGGGCATTCAGAGGAGAAAGAACGAAATGAAATTCAGATTTATTTTTAACCGAGACTATGGCATTGATATTTTATAAAAACAATTTTACAATATCAAAATCTTCAAAGAATTCTAGACTTGTGCGTATCATATTTAGTATAGATGTGATCCCATAGTAACACTATTAAGTGATGTATTCTGCTTTCAATATTTTTTCTTGATTATTTTCAGAATTCTTCTTCCTCTTTTATTTTTATCGCAACTATTACGATGTGTTTGTTTTATCATCTTCTCAGATTTTGTTATCACAATTAGTCATCAGTATCTTATCTCATAGTGTTACCCAAACTGTAAACAATCCTCTTACATTAAAAAGGTATATTTCAGTGATCTTTCTTCGTCAAAAGTGAAAACATTTTCCATCCTGAATTACATGTCCTTTTTTATCTTCAGCTTGCCCTAGTGGTTGGTATGGAAAAAACTGTTCGGAAAAGTGCAATAATTGTGAAACATGTGACAGATTCAAGGGACAATGTACTTCTCCTTGTAAAACCGGTTGGAAAGGACCATTCTGCACAAAAGGTATTTGGATTGTGAACGAATAGAATTTGAACATAATGAGTATCGGTTAATGTACGTGTACATGAAACATACTCAAGTTGAGTCATATAGATGATGTGTTTCTAAATGATTAGGTAGAAAAGAAAACATTAAATAAATCGTTATTGAATAAAAAAGAAACATATCATTATCAAAAAAAAAAAGACAATTCTAAAAGAATCGAAATTCAAATACAGATTTCTATAGTCAAATGCACAAATTATCAAGAATTATGATCTTTTTTTTTAAATTTAATTTAATTTTATTATTCTTATTTTTTTTTATATATATACTATTATTATTATTATTTTTGCACAAAGAACAGAAAACAGATTTAGACGAATGAGAAAATAAATTAAAACTGTTTTACAGTCAGTTATTAGTCCTCTATCCTAAACCGGAGGGGACTCTAGGTGTACCCCTTGTCGTTCTGTCTGTTTGTCTGTCTGTCTATCAGACGATCCCGATTAGTTTTCCGCGCTTTTTGTCTAAACACTTGCAGATATTGAGCTGATTTTTGGCATGCGATTGTACCTTGAGATATATATCAATTATGGTTTTCGTTCCGCCTCGATGATTTTTGACTGACTTATGTCCTTTTAAACGTCTAAGGGGAACCAGATTCCCCACTTGGTTTTCCACACTTTTCCCTTAACACTTGAAAATATTAAGCTGCTTTTTGGTACGTGAGTCTGCCTTCATAATTTCGGTTTTTTTTTTTTTTTAAAGTTTTAGGGGAACCAGCATTACAATTGCCGGTAGAGGACTAGCATTTTGCTTATGCAATAATCTCAGAATGCTTGATAAAATTATTTTTAAACCATCATTATTAAAAACCCGACATAACGGTATTCTAATGCATTGGAGAATAAGACCTATGTGCTCCTTTAGTTATTACAATTTTTTTTAAAAAAGATTTTGTCTTACAATGTAGAGTTTGAGCATAAATAAAACTTTGTATAACGATCCACAAACTGTATCATATTATGACCCTGGTCAACCTTGGTTAAGAAATAATTCACAAAATTTTGCACATTTTTCAAAACATGTACACATATATATGTACCTAGAGGATGCTAAAAATACGCAATGACTCATGATCAGTGATGGACAGATACAAAAGGACAATCAAATGGTATTTACTAGTTTACTTCCTTTTCAAGGAGTCAATCTTAGAGAAAACATATCAAATTTCATTTTTTAAGCTCACCTGAGCCGAAGGCTCAAGTGAGCTTTTCTGATCACTTTTTGTCCACCTTCCGTCTAGCTGTCCGTCTATCCGTCTGTCTGTCTGTAAACTTTTAATATTTTCGACTTCTTCAAAAGAACCACTGGGCAAACTTCAACCAAAGTTGCCACAAAGTACCCTCGGATAAAGGGGAATCAAGTTTGTTCAAATGAAGGGCCACGTCCTCTTTCAAGGGGAGATAATGAAGAATTAGTGAAAAAATAATAGCATCTTTTAAAAATCTTCTTCTCAAGAACCGCAGGGCCAGGAAAGCTGAAACTCATGTGGAAGCATCCTCAGGGACTATAGATTCAAATTTGTTCTACTCATGACCCCCGGGGGTAGGGCGGGGCCACAATGGAGGATCAAAGTTTTTCATAGAAATGTATTGGAAAAACCTTTAAAAATCTTCTCAAGAGCAGCAAAGCCATAATGAATCATATTTTTATGGAAGCATCCTCAGGTAGTGTAGATTCAATTTGTTCAAATCCTCTCAAGAGCAGCAAAGCCATAATGAATCATATTTTTATGGAAGCATCCTCAGGTAGTGTAGATTCAAGTTTGTTCAAATCATGACCCCTGGGGGTAGGGCGGGGCCACAATGGAGGATAAAAGTTTTACATAGAAATATATCAGAAAAATCATTAAAAATCTTCTTCTCAAGAACAGTTGAGCCATGATGAGTCTTATTTATATAGAAGCATCCTCAGTTAGTGTAGATTCAAGTTTGCTCAAATCATGACCCCCGGGGGTAGGATTGGGCCACAATGGAGGATCAAAGTTTTACTTAGAATTATATAGGAAAAATCTAAAAATGTTCTTCTCAAGAACAGCAAAGACATGCTGAGTCATATTTATATGGAAGTATCCTCAGGTAGTGTAGATTCAGATTTGTTCAAATCATGACCCCCGGGGGTAGGGTGGGACCACAAAGGAGGATCAAAGTTTTAAATAAAAATATATAAGAAAAATCTTTAAAACTCTTCTTCTCAGGAACAGCAAAGCCCTGATTGATCATATTTATGTCGAAGCATCCTCAGGTAGCGTAGATTTTATTTTGTTCAAATCAGGACCCCCGGGGGAAGGTTGGGCAACAATGGAGGATCAAAATCTTTAATAGAAATATAAAGGAAAATATGTTCTACTGAAGAACTGCAAAGCCATGACTAGTCATTTTGATATGTAAGTATTCTCAGGTAGTGTAGATTCAAGTTTGTTAAAATGATGACCCCGGGGATAGGGTCGGACCACAATGGAGGATCGAAAATTTTACATAGGAACATATACTGTAGGAAAATATCTTCTTCTCAAGAACTGAAAATATTGTTTAGTCATTTTGATATGGAAGCATCCTCAGGTAGTGTAAATTCAATTTTGTTCAAATGATGACCTCTGGGATAGGGAGGAGCCACAATGGGGGATGAAATTTTTACAAAGGAATATATGGGAATTTTTTTTTTTTTTTAAATCTTCTTCTCAATTACAACAAAGCCATTTGTTACCTGTATATTGACATTGAAGCATCATCAGGTAGTTTAAAATTCAAGCCCCCCCCCCCCCCTCCCCGGTAATCTTTTCACTACTGAGCTGATTTGTTCTTTTGCCTAGCCAATGTGCTCAGGTGAGCGATGTAGCCCATGGACCTCTTGATTAACCAATGCAATGCCATATTTAGAACACTGCTTAATGTTATATCCCAAAGCTGTTTTCATTATGAATAACATCGATTATTTTAAATATGTGTCAATAGAATGCGATGGTAGGAAGTACGGGGATGGTTGCAGACTTGACTGTGGAGCCTGTCTGGGATATAAACAATGTCATCACATCAATGGGACATGTCTTGAAGGCTGTAACCATGGTTACAAAGGAGGATTCTGTTATACAGGTGAAATATATTTTCTCCTGTATTTAGAGTTATTCAAATCACTTACTGAAACCGGTAATATCCGTTATGCATTCCAAATGAAAACACAATTGATTCATTGAAGAGAATTGAGACATTCTGGATAAATTTCAGCTTGCACGGATGGGACATTCGGTATTAACTGCAAACAAAACTGTAGTGTTAACTGTGGTGTACCGAACAGATGTAATAGAACGACTGGAGAATGCAAAGACGGATGTCAGATAGGCTGGGAAGGACTTCAATGCCAAAATAGTAAGTATTTTCAGTTTGTATGATTTTTACGACAATGTCAGCTCTGTACACAGATATGGATATAAGGGAATGTATAGAGATTTTCAGGTTTACTTATAAAATCCTTTTTATTAGCTCACCTGAGTCAAAGGCTCAAGTGAGCTTTTCATATTGAAAAGTGTCCGGCGTCCGTCTGTAGTGCGTCTTCTGTAGACTTTTCACATTTTCGACTTCCTCTCATAAAGCCCTGATAAATCATATTTATATGGAAGAATCCTTAGGTAGTGTAGAATCAATTTTGTTCCATGTCCCCTGGGAGTACATTGGACCACAATGGGCGGTCAAAGTTTTACAAGTGAAAACATAGGGAAAATCTTTAAAAATCTTCTTAACTACAACGAAAAAATCCATGATTAGTCATATTCATAAAGAAGCATCCTAAGGTAGGGTAAATTCAAGTTTCTCCAAATCATGACCTTGGGGAATAGGGTGGGGTCTCAATTGGGATCAAATATTTACATAGAAATATGTAGAAAAAAGTCTTAAAAATGTTTTCCTCAAGAACAGCAAACTAAGCCATGAATGGTCATATTAATATGGAGTCACCCTCGGGTATCAAATTTGTTCAAAATATGACTCCCGGGGGCAGGGCGGATCGACAATAAGAGATTAAACTTTTGCATAAAAATATAGATGTGAAAGTCTTTAAAAATCTTTTAAAGCCATGATTAGTCAAATAAATATGGAAGCATCCTCAGGTATTGAAGATTCAAGTTTGTTAACATCATGACCCCTCCCGTGCCCCTCCCGGGGTAAGTAGGAGCCACTTATATATTGAGACTTTTCAATATTGAACTGATCTCTGCATTTCTTAAACAAAAGTGCTCAGATGAGCGATGTGGCTCATAGGCCTCTTGTTCTCCTTCTTTTTTAAAAAAATATTTTGTTGCCATTTTAGAATGTGGTAACAAAACGTACGGACAAAACTGTAACCAGACCTGTGGTAACTGTCGAGATAAAGCAAATTGTCACCATATTAATGGGAAATGTCCAGCTGGATGCACAAAGGGATATAAAGACCTTTACTGTACAGCGGGTATAATTTTTTTTCCCCAAAAAATATTTTGTCTTCATACTTGCATATCATCTGCTTGACTATTAACACTTTCTTGATTTTTCTATTTATTTTGGGTAAATAAAATAATATAAAATATCTTTTTTTTTTTACTACAGTGTGTTTTCCGGGAACATTTGGCTTCGACTGCATGGAGAACTGCAGCACAATTTGTGTTAATAGTACATGTAACTCTATCACTGGAAACTGCCCAGTAAGTAGCATCATTTCGTCTTAGTGCTACATTTCTCTTTTATTAAGATCCCATGAAACAACTGCTTATCACAAACTGTAATAAAGCATTATAAAGAGATTTATTGAAAATGTAAATTCATTGTAAAATATAGATGTGGAAAATGGTGAATGAGGTTTTGAAAATCAATAATAAGATTAATAACTTAAAGCATATTTCACAATATTTTGCAGAACATATCACCACAAACAAGTGAAAATAATAACATGGGTGCAGTCATCGGAGGGATTTCGGGTTTTGTTGTGGCATTTGTCGTTGTTTTGATAGTGGTTATAGTTTTAAGAAGGTAACCTTTGCCCCTGATACACCTGATGTATCTTCTGCACGTAATGCATACATTGATTTCGATTAGTTTTTATGTCTTATTTGTCATTTGTTTCATTATTCTTATCTTTAGGTACATTTTTTTTTCATTAAAGGCGAAGTTCAAGAAAGAATAGTAGCGAAAAGGGTTATACTGAAAGAGCAATGAATTGTGAGTAAATAATTCACTTTTAATGCGAATGTGTCTATGTGTTTTTCTACAGCACATTGATAAAAAGACTTAATATACCTTTTTTATTTGCTATTTCAGTAAAAAAGGGGGCGCTTGAGACAGAATTTACTAACATTGATTCAAAAACTGATCCATCATCTAAAAGCAGTGGAAACAAGTACATGGCATCAAAAAATGAAAAACCTCTAATATCTCAGAAGAAAGGGGACGAGGCTGATGTCGATGAAGATGAGTTGATACATTCAGAGAATCCCTATGGAGATTTTTACGCTAATGAAGCTACTATTCGAGATATACCTTTGAATCAACTCGAGTCAGTTATTGTAGAAAATAGAATGAATGAAGATGAGGGATTTCAGAAAGAATATGCAGTAAGAACCGATCGATTTTAAATAAATAAATAAATATATAAATATTTTCTTTCAGGACACCCGGTTTAGGTTGTCTATTGTATCTATTTTCGTCAGTCGTCGTGCGTCGCCTGAACATTTAAACATTTTAGCTTCTTCTCTTGACCCGTTGAATCAATTTTAAGCAGATTCGGAATATAATATCTATCGGCAAAGGAATTTCATTGGAGTGAATCTTAAAATTAAATTGTACACACTTACCGTATTATTTTAGTAATATTAAATCTATTGCAGACACTACCATATGGGGAACAATACAAGTGTGACGCTGGAAAGATGGATAAAAATATAGTTAAAAATAGATTCAAAACAACATTTCCTTGTAAGTATCAAGATATCAGAGAAAACCTGAATAAAAAAGAGAAATATAAAAACTTTTTTGTTCCATACACAAATACAAGTTCTGTTATTTTTCAATCCATTTTTTCAATTTTAGAAGACATGTACTTCATTTTTTGTTTTGTCTTTTGGTTTCATACAAGTTAAATATTTCAAATACAAACAGTGAATTTGTTTTCCTGTATACAGATGATCATTCAAGAGTAATACTGAGGACAGAGAGTGGATCAGACTACATAAACGCCAACTATATTGATGTAAGTTCTTACTTAGACGAGGTCAAAGGTTAATTCTTCAAAGGATTTATTGATTGTATTTTGTTTTACGTCCCAGCCGAGAATTGTTCATTTATATGGAGGCGTCACCATATACCAGTTAAGGGCTTTAATGTAGGTCTATGCTCGACACTCAGCGCCCTTGAACAGTAAGGGTTCTTTCGTGCCAACTTCTATCGTGATACGGGACCTCGGTTTTTTAACGTCTTATCAGAAACACCTGTGACTTTCACTTCTGATGCGAGGAGCTTGGCGAAGAAACAGTCACTACCTATGTCAATGTCTTAGGTTTGACGCAGCGCGGCGCGGGGAACGAGAATCGAACCCGGGCCTCCCGATCACGAAGGGAACGCCCTACCACTAGGCTACCGTGACAGCCGTTCCATAGAAAAAAAAAAATCATGCAAAAATTAAATAAACTTCAATTGAAATATCAATAAACGCTTGTTGACACTCTTTATGTTTTTTCTACGTAAATTCAGGATAAAGACAGCCAAGATATTCAATTAGGCCAATCAGTCTTCACAGTACAAATTTGTATTTAGCTAAGTCTAGTTTCTTTTTTAATTTCTTTTCTTTTTTCAAGTTACGTAACAGAATAATGATGTCTGCTTTATGTATTTCTAGGGCACAGAGAGGGATAAGCAATATATTGCTGCGCAAGGTACATAAATATTTTGAAAACATAGCTTTTATTTGCGGTTCGATTTTACATGCACAAAATAATATATATATATATATATATATATATATATATATATATATATATATATATATATATATATATATATATATATTTATGAAAGTAGACATTATTTGGATCAAAGCAATTGACATCTTTCTATTTTATCATTGGATAAATCCTAACTGAATTTTTGTGTGATTTAAATAGGGCCGAAACAGAACACAGTAATTGATTTCTGGACAATGATTTGGCAAGAACGCGTGACAACCATTGTAATGTTGACCAATCTAAAAGAGGGGATGAAGGTATATTATACAATAAAAATTGGCTTATAAGGATTCCGAAGTCCTTTGTATATATCTTTTTCTTTCTTTGACCTAATTTTTCTATATCCATATAAGAAATTTTATGATAGGTGGGATATTTTGACTTCTTTATTATCGAGAATTGATTATATCTGACTTTCTTAAAAGCTAGTTTTACTATATACTGATTTTTCCCCCAGTGTTTACTTTCATTTTAATCGTGTTTTTTATACGATGTAGTTAATTTTAATTTTACATCACAATTGCGTGGTGAAGGTGTAAAAGTATTTCAATAAAATTTCCAGTTAATTATTTTTTTTTTCCTTGTTTAGACAAAATGCACTCAGTACTGGCCCGCCGCTAACAGACATATCAACTATGGAAGCGTATCAGTGAAATTGACTGATGAAAAGGTGTACGCATTTTACATCATTCGAAAATTGAGTGTGAACCATAAAGAGGTGAGTTTATATTTACCGTCTAATATCTTTTTAAAATTCATAGCAATTTTAGTAAAGAAATCACAGTTTTATGTTGGACGTTCACATATCTAATTAATGGGTAAAAAGACAGAATAAATTCAAAGACATGGAATAAGATTTTTTGTTGAGACACGGAAATAGAGGAACTTATGTTGTTACTCCTAGATCTGATGACACAGTCACTTATGCGGGGTAAAAGTTTAAAAGTTTTGTTCACGGCAGGCGAGACTATGACATTCTGTATAAGTTTTGACTTTTCTATTGCCGGATTGTCAAAATTGAGAATTTAAGGTACATGCTATATTAAAATCAAATCATAAACGACATTACATGTGAATCCTTGTACGCGGTTATCACTAACAAAATAATATAGAACATCCGTCTTAATTTGTGGCTCATTCATACCTAAAACAACTTTTAAAACAGGTTAAGGATTGTCCATCACCCCACAGGATGAAACTACACCTTTCAGTCAACTGAATGCATGGTAACTGAAAGGTTTGGAAAGATGACTGAATGGCAGAATTCTGCCATTCAGTCATCTTTCAGTAATCTTTTAGTTTTCTTTCCGTTAACTGAATGGCAGTTTCATCCTGTGGGCCAGTGCATGGTACTGGATACGAAAGTTACAACAGAAACCATTATCTTTAAAAAAGTCGAAATAACCCTTATGTCACTGTCCTGAGTGAAAAGCATAAGGTTTACACTTCATGTTTTATTTATTGAGTTTGATATATGCCACTATAGGAGAAATATTCTCACAGAACATAAGAGTTCTTGAATGAGCCAGCATATATTAAACATAAAAGTACAAGACACATTAAACCTAACAATGAGGAATTTTACGAATTTTCAGACAATTGAGTCCCGTGTTGTTACCCAGTACCATTATACATCTTGGCCAGACCATGGAACCCCAGATCCACTATGCCTTGTCGTCTTCCTTGATCATGTGACCCGAACTAATCAGAGAAACTCTCAAACAGTTGTACATTGCAGGTAAAACAAAACAAATAAGAGATTTATCCACGTTTTCCAGAAAGTTAATATTTGGGAAAAGATTTTTTTTTTTAAATCAGGATTAATATATCTTATAACTGAACTTCGGTACTCCTATAGTACTATGGATTAAGTTAATTGATCATAAAGACGTTCCTTCAGTTCATGTGCCTTAATTAAACATGACTTTTTTCCCATTTTTTTTCTGTCTTTAGTGCGGGAATCGGTAGAACGGGAACGTACATAGCACTAGACGTCCTGAATCAGATAGGAAGAAAGACAGGAAAAGTTAACGTAGCGGAATATGTCAAGAAGATGAGAGAAAACAGGATGAATATGGTCCAAACATACGTAAGTCTTTTTTCATTTAGAAAGTGTTCCTTTCTAAAAAGGAAAATACATTTCTGGGATCATCTTTTTTTTAAATGTCTGTTTAACCTGACCCAACTCAAAATTCTTTTTTAACAGTTCAAGGAAATATTTTTATTTTAATTCTGAAATTCTCATCATATCTACACTTGTTTAAATTTTTTTTTCTTAAATTTTTGTGAAAGAAAAATTTCCTTCCTTGGGTCACAATAGGGAATCTAAATTTTACTTTGAAATATATAGGAAAAATCTTTAAAAATCTTCTTCTCAAAAACCACTGGGTCAAAAAAGCTGGAAGCTGAAATATATGGAAGCTTCCTGAGATAATGTAGATTCTATATTGTACAAATCACTACCCCGAGGGGTAGGATGGGGCAACATTAAGCATTGCAAGGGGGAAAATCTGGTGAAGAACAGGGAGGCCAAAGTTATCCGGGTGAGCGTTGTGGCCCATGGCCCTTTTGTTTTATTTCTTTTGTTGGTTTATTCTTTTATTTAACATTAACATGAATTGTTATAAGTTTTTCCGCTTATCTGAGCCAGAGACTAAAGTGATCTATTCTGATCACACTTCGTCCGGCGTCCGTTTGTCCGTTTATCTGTCTCTAAGCTTTTCACATTTTCGACTTCTTTACAAGAACCAATCTGCAAACTTCAACCAAACTTGCCACAAAGTATCCTTGTATAAAGGGAATTCAAGATTCTTCAACGGAAACGTCATGTCTATGTCCAAGAGTTGTTAATTATGAATAAGTGGAAAAAAAATAATGGCATCTTCTGAAAAAAAAAAATCTGAAAAACTAATGGGCCACTGAGTATAAAAATTATGTGTAAAAGTATGCAGTGGTAGTGTTAATTTATTTATTTTTTTTTAATCATGACCCCCCAGGGTACGGTGAGGCCCCAAGGTCGATGAAAGTTTTACGTAGCATTAAATATGAACAATCTTTAAAAAGTCTCCGTTTCAAAACAGAAATGCCACAATTGGACATATTTATATAGAAGCAACCTAAGGAAAATCAGATTTAAGTTTGTTCAAATCATATAAGTGTGCCCCAACAGAAGATCAAAGTTATACATTGGAATATTTCTAAATAGGAATTCGAAGTATCTTTTAAAAATCTGATGAAGGGCAGGAAAACCAAAAATATAGTCAAATTAGATCAGAAACATCCTCAGATAGTGTAGATTCAAGTATGTTCAAATCATGTCTCCCGGGATAAGGTGGGCCACAAAAAGTATATCAAAGGTACAGGAATTAAAAAAAAACACTTCTAAAGCCAAGGTTAGTCAACAATATGGAAGCATCATTAGTGAGTGTAGATTCAATTTTATTCAAATCATGCCCAATCCCAGGTGGATAGGTTTGGACTACCGGTACTTATATATGTAAACTTTTCTATAATGAGCCGATTTCTGCTTTTTTCTTAGCCAGAGTGCTCAGGTGAGCGATGTACCCGTGGGCTTCTTATAAAATGTGCTTCTGAGTTTGAAGAGAAAAAGCTATCAGGAATTGCAAAATGTAAATGTAGAGATAAAAGCTTGCCAAAAAAGAAATCATTATTTCAAGATTACTCGGGGAGTATTATCGATAATTGATCATTAGAGCCATGTACTTATACCGATTAATTGTTACTGAAAATAGTAGATAAATAATTCGCTTCTGAAGTTGAAGAATTAAGTTTTCCCATTCAAATAATTTAATTACGTTATTCAGACATTTTGTATTTTTCAAGCAAAAGTGAATTAGCTGAGAAAGATTATTTTAAAGTTGTGTTATATAAAATTTAATAATATATTTATTTTGCAGGAACAGTACATGACCATTTTTCTAGCTTTAAATGAAATATTCAAATCCCAAGTCAACAGCACAACTATTGATGAATTTACTAAAAAGGCAGAAGCCATGGTGACAGACAAACCAGCCAATCAGAGTACATTGCGAAAAGAATTTCAGGTGCATTATGTTATTAAATGTCTTGCAAAGGTTTATGTAGGCAGAAGGAACAAGGGACCAAAAAAACCACAAACAATAAAACAGAGAAAATATTTCTTTTAAGAAAATAAATTAAAATTGTATCGGTATTTTGAAGGAATAAACGCATAAGGGACATTTGAAAAGTTCTGAGAACTGTTTGATAAAATATTAACCATTTAACAGAAGTTAATGAGTTTGATACCATTGAAAAGAGCAGGAAGATATTAACTTATTTTGAACTCACTTTCTTACTTTCATGACATAATGACCCTAAAGATAACTTCACAGTCCTTTTTTTAAAAGAAATTTTTATTATGTTTGTTTATTAAGCTTTTAATGAAAATACGACCCACATATAGCGATGCTGATTTCAAGCTTGTGAAGGAAAGCTGTGGTGATATATATTTTAATGGTATACTGCCCCGTAAGTAAATATGATAAATTTTACTTTCATTTCACTTAAAGGAATTTGAAATTTTGATTTATGGATGAGCAGTGTTTAGAAAATTATTAAGTAAAATCAATATTCTAATGTATTGAAGATAATGATTCATTGTATTAATTTCCTTTTGATTTAGGAACACCTTTTTATCGTTTTTACAGTTCTAAGACATGCAAAATGTTCTATACAATTTCATTTTTTCCCCTAAATTAGTGGATAAATACAGCGTACATCTTTCGTCTGCTCTTCCCAAACGAGGGAACTTTATCAACGCCATCATCACACCGGTAAGTGTACACGAAGTTTATATTCTGCAAAACGCAAAAATTTCATGTTTAAATAAATAATGGAGAAGTGCATAGCTTTTATTTTTTAACAACTTCAACTATCAAAAGGGATGAATTTTTGTTATTTTTCTCTTTTTTGCTTAATATGTACTTAAGAGGTGTTTGATCAAAATTGTCCTTACTCATTTTGCACTCCTACAATAATCCACTTCAAAGTCTTTTTCTTTGTTTTTCTGTTTTTTTTTTCCTATAGTCATACACCAACAATAAAGGGTTCATAGTGACGCAGTATCCAACGGTAAAGGACGCTGTTGACTTCCTACGCCTGCTCAATGATCACGAGTCTGACATTGTAATATGTATGGATCCACTGTTCAAAGTAGACTCGGTGTGTGATATTAAGCATTTGACTAAAACTTACGTACACTTTTTTTTTTAATTTTGTATGTTACTGTGTGTTCTTAATTTTATATTTATGAATGGACAAATTTCTTTTGAAATGATCAAGTTAAAATTTTGAATTTTTATGTTAAAAACAGATGTTGACGATTTCTTTGTTTTTTTTTATTAATACATTGCATGGTTCCCTACTTTTATAAAAAAGTAAAAGAGTTCAAGATAATTGATGGATGTTTATCTTGATCATATTGGTTAGATTTTATAACTTACTGATCATATATCTACTATGCACAATTTTTTTTATTTCTGTAGAGTAAGGTGTGGTTACCAAGTCCCTCTTCTTCTTCTAAGACGAACTCGCCATTCACTGTTCACTTTCAATCAAATTCTGAAACTGACGTAAACATCACTATCGTTCACATCCTGCAGAAGAATGTAAAGATTAGATATTTACATTACGTATTTTATATCAATGTGTTAAGTTTCCCTTTTGTGTTTCACATTTTTCTACATTTGACCAGTGATTCTGGAAACATGGGGGAAAAAAAAGATTTACAGCATTTACATGTTTTCATAGAGTGAAGAGGAAGCTCATCCTGTGACAATAGTAGAACCAAAGGTCAGCATAAAAACATCCGGGACTCCTCTTGACACTTCTCAACTCCGGAGTCTTGTTTCAGCTGCACTGGGTGTTGAAAAAGAGAATCCTATCACAGTTATAAGCAGGTTTTCAATTTAAGTTCAAGTTTATTTCTTTACAATAAAGCACTTACTTACATTCTTACAATTCTTCAATTTAAAAAAAAAGTCTATTAAAGAAGATATAAAACATCACTTTCGTTAAAATTTGAGGTCAATATTGTGAAGGGTCATATGCATTTTATTTTCAAGAATTTTCAAGAAGCATTCATAGAGAGTGTAAATTAATCTCATTTCCTTCTGTAATCGCCCCCATTGTTTTAGTAATACAGCAATGCGTCTTATTATATTTTCTCTTTCTCTGTAGCGACGGGGCGTCACTTTGTGGTGCATTCTGTGCCCTTCACAACGTGATACAGCAAATTAACATGGATGACAGTGTTGATGTCTTTACTGCTGTGAGACAATTGCAAGTTAGAAGACCAGAACTCTGTTCAAATCTAGTAAGTCAGAATGAGGCTCTGGAGTAGATATTACACTACAGAATTAATTTCAGCATTCGTAAATACACGTACATACACTTCAGGTGTTGGACTTTTTTTTTATTACGAAAAAGACAAAGAAAAAAAACGTTTTTGATTTATTTATCTATTTTCAGGACGAATATCGCCTGGTGATCAAGGCCGTGTATGATCATGTTCTAAGTACTACGGAAAACATATACTGCAATCAGCGATAAAACGCGGATTCAAAATACCGCTCAGCGAGACATTTATCTTTATCCGAGAGAAATTCAACATGCATCAGATTTTTCCTTTGCTTATATAAATGGACTATGTAGATTGATAGAATTATTTTTTGTTTATTGTTTGTGTTTCTTTGGGTAACAAGAAATTTTTATAAGAATATTTCTTAAATGTATAAAAAGAAAATAACACTTTACGATAAATCTTCTACGAATTTCCATAATATATGTATGCTGGTTACTATATTATAATGAAAAGATTGATAAAGATGCACATTGTGAGTAAATCCACGTGTTTTGTTTGATATATCATTTTCTCGATTTTTTTATGGGAAAGTGTCATATTTGTAGTTTTGATGTAGTTTTTATTGTAAATTTCACAAATAAGAGTGTATGTCTTCTGAGTGAAGTTCATTTCCTGTTGCATTTCTCCATTAACGTACATTATATTATTTTCTTTTCTAACCATGAGTGCATTCTGATTCTAGAAGAAAATGAATCTTCCAAAACAAAATATTTTCATTTTTGGCTTGAAATATAGTATACCTTTCAATTATGTATAAATATCATTGGGATTAACATAGACCTTAAAACTGCTTTCCCGATACATACCTCCAATTTTTTTATGAGTGATGTTGTATTACGAATGTAAGCAATCAGCAAATAGTTCACTGTCTAACAATAGAATATTTATATTCCATTTACATTTATGATTCTTTTTTAACGTCACAAATGTTAAAGACGTATAATGCAACGTAAAAACTGAAAATCGACACTAGCCTTGAATAGTAACTGTTACTTCTGCTCCCTAAATTTAGCTATTACGTCTGGTGTTTATCATAATATATTCAAATTAGTGATATTTAATCAATCTACAATGAAATCAATAAGTGTTAATGTATGTCCGTTAGTCAATTTGTCAGCACATCCGTCCGTATTATGACACGCTGAAAGTCCAGTCACAATTCAATTCTTAAATATTTAAGATAACATTTTAATAGGTAGATATCAAAACAAGCGCTTCAGAATTAATATCAGCATTAGTAAATAGTCACCCCCTCCCCCCCCCCCCAAAAAAAATAAATAAGTACTTAAGAAGATACTACAAATACTGTACGAACACATAACTTTATGTCACCATGTTATTCATATAGCAAGTAATAAATAAATAATAACATTATTTTTTGTATATTGATTATATTGTGTATTTGGAGAAAGAGCTAGGTACGTTAGCTAATGTCAACAGGCCCTGCAAAATGCTTAAAAAATAAAGTTTGCGTATCCTCACTGACAATGTATATTTATAAAGTTTATGATCCTAAGTCCTTGTATATGTAAATGTTTGGGCGGATCCAAGCCTCTTATGCTGCTATGTAATATCCAAACCTATGCCGTTTCCGGAAAACAAGCAATTTTCTTCACTTTTCACCCGGTTTTTGGGAAAATTCGATGTGGCCAGACGCATCGGCCACGTAGATATTTTAACCAGAAATACTATTACATAAAAGGGATTGATTTATACAGGTTTCGTTCTGGCCGTGGGCTGTGGCCACATTGAATTTTTACAAATTCTGATATTATCAGTCGTCTGCTATACGGATCTTGACGTGAGGGGAATGGAATATTAGCTTGGTAATTTGATTATATTCGTAGAAAATAAATAACAATTGAATACATGTTTATTTTATAGAAATCTAAATGATAAAATGCATTACTTTAATAACTCATTTGTAAAAATTTCGTATCCGCGACCACCTTTTTAACTTTCGTTTTCATTCCAGGCAACATTTCGGGAATAAGCAAAACTCAGGCAAATGTACACATAAAACGTCTAAATTTCTGAAGGTCTGTTGTAAAAAGGTTTATCTGAGATGTTTTGGGGTTGTTAAGTTTATAAAAAGGCATCTTATGTTTATTTTAAGGCAAAACCCTAACATCTCCAGGTTGTACATCGAACTCTAAATATAGACGTCCTCGTTGTTTACATTGACAACGTACAGTGACGCGCCAAAAGTTTTTCTCATTTTTCAGTCTTTCGTTCGAATATTTTACTGTAAACAATACGTTGTTTTATCAAACATTTTGATAAAAAATAATTGAGAATTTCTCATAGTAAGAGAAAACTGTATTCAGATGATTCATTGTAGATATAAAAAAAATCTCAAATTAACGACTTTTTATTATCCGTAAAAATGCTGGAAAGTTTACATGTTTCAATGCACAGATGAATTATTTTAATATTATAGCACTTACACCCTTTCTCCAAAAGCTTAATTAGTACATACTTATACTTATATTTAACGTATGATAATCTTTCAATGAATTAAATTTATATACCATCACATAGAAAGGAAAAAAAAAACATACACAATTTAATGTTTTTATGTCTTCTCAAAAATAATTGAAATGATAATTGAGAACAGTAGAGACATAAGTATATGTTATTTATGTCCCTGAAAACAGAGAAACAATGCGATTAAATTCAGGGGGGGGGGGGGGAGAAGAATGGGGAAATTACATATAACTATTAAGTTTTCCTTCAGAGAAGTTAAGATGAGAATATTAATAAAATAATATTCGACTAACATGATTTTCATTATAATAAAAACTTTTGAATGGGACAGCAGCTTCATATAATTTTGTGAAATTCTAAGATACTGAAAATATTTTTTAAAATTTATTTTATATATCTATAATTTTTTTCTAAGTCATTTATTTTACACCCTCCCTTTTGTGACAGGAAAAACTCTCCAAAATATTTGCAAATTCATTGATTCTTACTGAATCAAATGATATTAATAATTAAAATATCTTCCTATGAGATACACATGTATACAATTTGATACTATACAATTATTGCATGACGTGAGGAAAATATGTAGATTTATTCAGCAAAGAAAAATTATACGAATTTTTTTGGTTGAATAAATCTTCATTTTTCCGTAATATTCATGCAATAGATTCTTATTATACCGAAACAAGCAAGGCCTTTAAAAATAAACACAAACTTTCAAAAAGTTACTGGAACACTTAACCGAAGTCCCTTGGACACTTCGTTTTTAGATTTCTTTTTTTTTTTTTTATTGAAGAAGACCGCCAATTTTGTCATTGCATTCAATGCCTTTATTTTAAATTTTGTGATGTCTGCTGTTGTCGGGAGTTTCGTCAACGAACGATTTATAAGTATCGCGAGAAAATGCACTTGGTTTTCCTAGGAGGTTAAATATGATGAAAAGCATGACGACGACAGGGAAATATGAAGTTTTATGGCCCCGTTACGTGACAATTTAGAACCAATCAGATAACGCGTTGTATAGAATAATTATAATGAGGTATAAAAATAAGATGTATGTGTAGGGGGAGAATCCCACTTAGGCTTTTTACAAGCTTATATATCATACTTAAAATCTCGAAAATCGGAAAGTTGAACTACTTGGCCAGGTGTCTCAAGGTAAACCCCCCCCCCCCCGACCCTTGCCTCTGAAATCCCCCTTCACCAACTCAGGTGACATACGTACCAGGTAGATACTAGTATTGTATTTTGGATATAGAACATTTTAGCGTTACAATATAAAGACTCAGGAGAATTATTTTCAGATCTTAATTGCAGCCCGGAGGACCGGGCTGCTCTATACATATAAGTTTAAGTGTTGGTATATGGGGATTGAGGTGGGAGAAGTTATTCAGAATTAAAGGTTTTCTAAACATTAAAAAGATCGTTAATCAGAATGTTCTTTCCCTTTATAAATTACGAGATACACAATATATTTACTTCCATAAAGTGAATCTGTAAAAATATATATGTTTTTTCATATTTAATATATAAAGTTGCTTATCATTTACTATCGAAAAAAACGACAGGTCCCTTTTTTTAGAACATCGAATTTTACTTATCGCATAAAAACGTAAAAAAGTAATTTACACAGTTCGTGTTTTATATTCTTTAAGTGAAAGACATTTTTGAAAATAGGTGATGCATGTGTCTGGTTTCAAATTATATTTTATGCAGCCAACATTTACTTGAGGAATTGATAAAGTTCAAAAGGGTATCGTTTTTGTTCGATTTTCGTCCGACTATAAGTTTTCAAAATATTCTCGACTATCGTCTCCATCATTTAGACGCATGCCTTTTTCACACATATCGAAGCGGTTTGATGATCAAGACTCATTTCCATTGTTTACTTTATTTATTTCCCGGGCGACAATTGATGGTTACATCAATGTTTTCTTGTTTCTTGTTGTTGTTTGTCCCCAGACGATCAACAGTCAGGTTCTAAAGCTGAAACCACGAGAGGAATGAATTCAACATGACGCTGGTTGATGCGTTATTAAAAGTCATGTTTGTTTCACCTTATGCTTACAGTCATTTTGAAAAACCCCGCGTTTCGAGACACTGGTAACCTTATCGCTGTACTTTGTATCCAACTTAAGACAACCCAACGTAATAACTTTTTTTGTAAAAAAATAAATCGACATCTTTATGGTCGCAGATAAGTGCGTATTGCCCAGGGTTGAAATATTACAACCTTTTTATGAAGGGTTGAAAAAATATACCTATCTATTATAAACCAAGTCAAAGCTTAATAAAGATTAAATATGTCATGTAGGAGATGAGTCGACCATCTTAATTTTCTGATATTTTTAATATCGATTATTGGAGGGATGATGGATATGTTCAGAAAACAAACAACGTCCAATCATAAAGTTATGTGTTGATATGGTAAAAACGGCGTCAGAGACATAATTAATGATTGTTAAAATTACTGGGAATAATCAAAATATTCTTTAACTCATTTGACAAAGCAATTCATCATATATTTCACAAAGTTTTAGAAGAAAAGTATTGTCTGAATTCCCCATTAGACAGATTAAATTAAATTTTATTACTACCATTATTAGAATTTACATCAGCTGTTTTGTATGGCTTTGCAAGTCTCCTGTTGGTAAATTAGGAAAATGATTTTAATTTATTCTTTGTTAGTTGACACCTTTGTCTGTGGTCCAAATTCAAAGATCAATTTGCAAGGTCATCGTAAACTTAAAGAAAATGCTGGTGGAAATGATGGAAGCATGTCACCTAAAGCCCGACTCTGACTCAAAGATATGTAA